CCCTGTGTGGGCGGTCGCTTAGCATCAGCTCCCGTGGAGGGCGTATCCGCGGCTCCCGGTGCGCGTCTCATCCCACTCGCGGAGCGCACGTCTCCGTGGCGAGGAACTTCCAGTAGCGCGCTAAGAGCTGGCCGAGAATGATCGCGGCTGGGCCGCCGCTCCGCGTTTCGAATATTATTATGACGCTCGGGTGCGCGAGTGACGACGAGGACCTCGAGGCTTAGAGGGCGAGCAAGAGACCACGAGCAACATAAATAGATAGATAGATAGACAGAAAGAAAGAGAGAGAGAAGGAAAGATAGAGAGATAGATAGAGAGAGAGAGAGAGAGAGAGAAAGAGAGAAGTTGAGAGATAGATACATAAAGATAGATTGATTGATAGACAGATACGTATATATATATATATATATATATATATATATAAATATATATATATAGACAGAGAGAGAGAGAGAGAGAGAGAGAGAGAGGAAACTCCTGGGCTCGCGGCACGCGAGATATGCTGGACCTCAAGGGCAGCGGCACGACCGCCGCTGAGTTACCGCGTACCACGGCATTCACCAACCTCTCAATGCTGTTCGCCGGTACGTTCGATTTCTTCATTAGCGAGACCCGAAGCCAGTGGACACGCGCGCTGGATGTTTATTTATTGATAAGAGGTGGTACTCGTCGAGACCCTTACGGGATCGTTAGTATTTGGGGGGTGGGAAGATCGAAGAGTGAATGCGTAACATACGATTTAACAGCTGAAGCGCGCATTACGTGAGCTTTTATATCGAAAGGATGTGCTTGCTGATTCGGGCTGTGATGAAAGGCGTAACAGTGATTAATTAAGCCGCACATAAGAGTCGCATACTATCATAATTGTGTGAATTTTAGATTATGCGCGCTAATTGTTTTTCATCACACTCGATCAATCAAAGAACCTAAAATCTTTAATGGATTATTCGAAATTTATGCCAATTACTAAAGTGTGTAAAATGGGTACGTAAATAGTCATTTGGAAATAACTTTAACATTATATTCTAAAATTAATTAGTACTGCTTGTATTTACATATTGCTGCAAAAAAACTATTAAATTGAATTTATGCAATTGTAAGACAATAAGACTTTTAAATGCAATACCATACGTCAATAATAGTTATGATAATCCTCACTTTGCACGACAATATTGTACGGCTTGATAAATGAATAGAAACTTACAACTTATTGATTTCTCAATATTTACTTTGCTATTTAAAACTCAAACTTGCACTCTCAAACAATATATATATATAAATGTATATATATATATATATATATATATATATAAATGTATATATGTACGTGTGTATGCATGCATGTAATAATTATAATAATAATACTAATAATAATATTAATAAATAAATAATGATAATTCATAAATAATAACAATAATAAATAACAATAATAGATAATAATAGATAATAGATAATAATAATAATAATAATAATAATAATAAAGTGGGGCAATTAAAGTCTTAAATAATACGAACTTTATAGCAAAGGATAAGGATATCTCAAGTTTAATCGCAAACAATACATTCCCTCTAAAATATTATGAAAATTTACATAAGAACTGGCTTTTAAATAAAATTATTAACCCGCTATAAAAATGGGAAAAATTAGTAATAAAGTTAAAATGAAATTATAGGGACATAAACATTTCATCGGGAACAATTATAAAGAAATATTACGTTAGAAATCTAATCGAATACTAATAGTTTTATTTAAGTTTTAAATTCGTTGTAGAATCCAAAATATGCCAAAATATGCCGTAAACACATATACCGCACATATGCAAAATCACGCGAAAAAAGAAAATAGAAATATTTTTCAAAAATATTGACCCGCCAATGAGCAGCGCACTTAGAGAATGACAGGAATCGTACTATGTAAATTACATCCTTAAAACTTATCTACTAATATTAGCTAATAACAGAGTATTGATAAAGCGATATCGATGATATTATAGTTCCTTAAGCGACAAGTCAAATCTTTCACGCCATAATCTCTCATGCGAATGAGCTGGACGAGAGACCGACGGCCCATATTTAGTAATTCGTACGTTAAGAGCCTCCGGAGCTCTCAATTCCTACTTTATCCGAGTGTCTAAGTGACGAGGAAATGTCTCCGTTAAGGTCCAAGAGTCGCTGTAACGATGAATTAACGATATGCGACTCCACCGTGTGGCGAATCAAGTGCCGAACGAAAAGGATCGCAACGATATAGGAATCGGGCAGTAGGGCCGAATGTTGACTAGGAACGGGAACATGAAATCCGAGGCCTTCATTAATGGAGTGACACTGTTTGCTCAATTTTCCGAGCGACGGCCGTCGGGTTTGCGCGCGAAGGTAAAACTCGATCGCCGCAAACATCCATCGTCGATGAAGGGGTCGACGAACACTGGGCTGGGACAGTGGGTGACGGTGAGGGGGTCGTGGGGTCGCGAAGTCGGTTGGGGGTTGGGGGGGGGGGTGGAAGAGGTATGGGAGCGGAGGCGACTGCTCGCCCCATATATCGCGCGTTTGTACACACATACGCCCGGCCGCGCCAATAACTGCCAAATGAAAATATATCTGTCGGCAAACACAGTCCCAGATCTATGTGAACAGAGTCATGTTTAAGAGAGAAAGAGAGCAGAAGTTGAGTAAGTGGTAGGCTTCGGATGAAAACCTTGTGTGTGCTGAGAGATTTATTTTATTTCGAGCCGAGTTTATTACGAATCGAGAGTTTATCCGTGTCGGTCCCTGACATCTCTGTGACTAAAAATATTAACCTTATTGCAATCTATTTGTCGTACTTCGGTTTATGAAATAAGCTTCGATGAGAATTTATACGAGACTGTTGAGCACGTTGACCGTTATGCAATTTCTGACTTCTCGTGGTTCTAGCTAGTTGTCGCGGTCCGAACGGAAATTAATTTTGTGAAAAAAAAAATGAACTATCATCTATCAATAGAGATTATTTCATGCACACAACAACGCAAAAAGAAGTAATATTTATTTTAAGGATACTTTGGTTATTATTGAAGATCAACATTATAAAACCATTTGCTTATCTTTACTTATGACATTTATAATTGATTAAATATCACTTTCTTTCAACAATGACACAAAATTTTCTTTAAATACTAGTGGGAAAAATAAAAATTATTACATTATTACTGATATTTAATGAAATTCTTACATTGTTCTCGTGCCGTATTGTATAAAGAGAAAAAGATAAAAAAAAATCTAGGGCAAACATAATTGTACTCTTTCATTAAAAAATACTGGTATAAATTCTTCTTTTTAAAGCATTTTTACAATAAGATTATCATATATTTAAAGGAAAGCTGTTTCATCTCATTTATAGACAATGGAATGTGAGAGACGATTAAAAAATTTCGATTATGTATATGTATATACAAATATATATATATATATATATATATACATTTACATTTAAAAAAAAAAAAAATTCTCTTATTTCATTGAATTCTTTCAGTTTTAATTGACAACGGTCAACAATAAATAATAACGAATCATTTATTTTTCATTATCCCGAGAGAATTTAAACAGCAAATTCGATGCGTTGTACTTGTTAATTAATTTATATAACATATTGGCGTATCTTCACCAATTGTCATTATTAAAGAAAAGTGCAAAAATAAGGAAATCGCTCGGGAATGAAAAATATAAAATTTATGCAGTCGGAAGACGAAAATTCATGTTTTCGCTGTTCAATAGGCGAAAAGAAAGTAGATAGAGCGAAAAAGGGTACCCGAAAATAAAACGAGTATGTCTTGACATCGAGAATAAGGGACGAATTCACTAGAGCGAGAACAATAAAAAAAAAAAAAAAAAAAAAAAAAACGTCGTCTGAAGGAGAGATTGCAGTCTGATGTTCCTTTATTTTTACGATTACGCGTGTCCACCCCTCGCACATACGCACAAGGAGAGAAAACATATTGACCTGGCGACTGTTTACATTCTTGATTAACTCCAAAAAATTTCTCACTGTCAGATTTGTATTTATAAATGAGCTCGACTTCGCCATAACACATAATAACAAATTACGCGGCTTGAATTAACAATTTTTCATTGTGACTATTTTACCGAGTGGTCACAGTATTGAAACAATTAATTTTAAAATTGCATTACAGCTTAATGTGCTTAAGCCGTATTTGAAAGACAAATTATGTAATTGGAAATTAAAATTTGCAGATGCCATAATTGACGGTGTCACTGAAAAATTGGAAAACATTGTATGTTTAATTGAAAATGTTCGAACTACGAGAAGTAAACATAATTTTTTAAATTCGTTTGTCCCTCGCTCATGAACTAAAAACAATTACATTGCTTCTTGCGCGGCTTCAACGATTTATTAATAAAATTCCTAATTTTACATTATAAATGTACATTTGCACAAATTGTTTAATAAACTATTAATAAGAGTGTGAATAAGCGATCGATTACAATTGTTGTAAATTTTAATTCTTTTCGATCAATGAGAAATTTGACTTACATATCCGTTTAAAATTTGTTTAAAATTTATACTTGATATTTCCTCGGATAATATTCTCAAATAATATATTACAATTATCTAAATAGAATAGAAGAGAAATTTTGTTTATTCCAATAATTCGTATACGTACATATAATATAGAAAAATTAATATTATTTAAATAAACTATATAAGAATTTATCTGTTGCTTATTCAATTAAATCAATTAACTTTATTGTAAATGTAGATTCTACTTTAATTATATAAACGGACATGTCGAAATAACGTGATTAAATTACTTATTAAACAAATACAAAATTGATACGAGAGTGTCCCGGGAGCCTATGTAAGTTCATGAAAAGCACATGAAAAATGGTCTCGACTACTTATTTATCTCAACACTTGCATGACAGATTTTGAAAGGGACGATTTGGATTTGTACAATGATGAGTCCGCAGAATTTAATTAATGCGCCATGTTTTTTTGTCTTGCAGATGCCAGTAGTTCGTACAAGGGTGGATGGAGCCACGCTACGTCGCCTGCCCCTGGACAGGGTGAGTTTGTACTTTTTTCCTTTATTATTCTTAAATTCCTTTTTTGCTGCCAGGACAATTCATTATGATAATCATTTAGCTGCTCCTCCTCAGTATTATCTCATCAAGTCAGTTATTATTTCTTTTATTGCGATAATTTAATTGCAATTATTACATTATAAGCACTTGTTTAAGACATAATTTCCTCTTATTTTACGCATACGTTACAACTGATAATGTTGGAAGTAAAATTCATTAAATAGATGAAAAAAAAAAAGGTTTTTGTTGTAAATACTTTTACTCAATTATCTTACTATATGCTTTATCAATAACAGTGACAACGATATAACATTACAATTGAATCTTTCCTATATAATACAATGATTGTAATAATGATGATAATTTGTATTAAATTATCGTCACTATTATTTATAGAAATATATGCATTAAGAATGTTAGATCGAGGTCTTATATACCTATGCTCTTAAAAGTTTGTACAGTATTAGAAACTAAAAACGTTGTTTCACTCTCCCTTCTTGCTACACTAACCTATTAAATTAGCATAAATTATCATAATAATGCAATAAATTCTTTTATTGCTCAAGCGAAAATTCTTAAATAATATACATTAGGTACTTTGGAAATATGTTAATTTAGAGGTAGGACGTAGAGAGTCCCATAATCAAAATGTTAAAAATGTAATGTATTTGTGAAAGGTGGTGAGAGTTAATGATTAACGTTTGGATATCCGTGTTTTACCAAAGCCTCCACTTGTGCGGCATAATAGAAAAGGAAGAAAGAGGCTATTAATGAAAGCCAATGTAAGTTGCCGTCGCTCTCGCAACTCGGCATCGCACGCTGCATGATTCGTGGTAAAATTGAAAGCTCGAGGCCACGGAAAAGCGAGGCAAGTGCGCGCGACGGCTTTCTCCAGTCGGGGCGTCACAGGAAGCGCATAGGTAAGGAGTTGGCGTTGGTGGTGAAGGGGGTTGGCCGTCGGAGGCAGGTGACAACTGTTTAGGGGGTGGGCGGGGATGGAGGATGGGGCGTGGGCGTCGCGCTTTTGTGGCGCGTTGAACAGTGGCGGTGTCCCTTTGTCACTCGCTCACTTTGGAGCTCTTCTTTCTTTTCCTATTGCTATCTCGCTCTCGCTAGAGTCACGTGGAACAATAATTGCGCTCGCGTCACGGGAGAGAGATCAGAGCTCGTGCCCGCGGCTGACTTGTTATATAAAGACTTTGCTTTGCTTTCCTTTGCTTTGCTTTGCTTTGCTTTGCTTTGCTTTGCTTTGTTTTGCAAGCCAACTCACTCTATTTCTCACTTTCTCTCTCTCTCTCTCTCTCTCTCTCTCTCTCCCTCTCTCCCTCTCTCCCTCTCTCCCTTTCGCCCTTTCTCTCTCTCTTTCGCTGTCTATCTATCTATCTCTACCTCTCGCCTTCTCTCTCCATATCTCGATTTTACGCCTCGTATTTGCGCCTTTGTGCATCTAAGACATTGCCTTTGGCCTCAACAGAGATTCTGTAAATGCTGTTCCCGACGTTGAGAAACATCTTTGATTTAATGTAAAAGAGGTCATAGGTATTTCGAGCCTTATACTTGATGTATGTTGAAATTATGAGAAAATAAGTGTTGCACGATTCAGAGTACTTATTTAGTGTTGAGCGATAGTAGTAGGACTTTGTATTTTAATGTAATGTGTATGAAAAGTTTATACCGAAGGTTACTATTAAAATTAATAATGACTAATAACCGTGGTCGCGTGGTGTAGGGAGGGGGGAGTGGTAGGGGGGCGGGAGCTGTCATATTTCAATTACTAGTAATATTCAGCTACAATTTTTATAATGCTGAGGTACCCTTGGAATTAAATAAAATTCCACCCATTGCTTTAACGTAATTTTAACATACGAGTCCTCGCACCTAACGCCTACTGTAATTTCTTCTATAATAACTATATAATATTGTAAGTATATCACTACTTAACTTATTATAACTTACGAGAATATCGTCGAAATTACGATGTTTTATTCTGCTAAAAGAGTTAGTCATCGAGTGAGTAACCGTGAATGCGTAATATTAATTCTATAAGCAAAAGCGGAATTCGTTCGCGGGTATTTATTTCTCAAGTAATATCTATTATTATTCTAGTTGGAAGTATTTCATTAAATTTTGCCTCGATGACATTTTTACAAGAGATTTTACGTAGAAAAGCTTTCATTAAATTCGAAAATATCCCTGCAATATTATTATCAAAATGTTATTTATACTTGAACATACTTTTACTAATGTTTTAATATAGATTCAATTTTCGTATAAATTATTCGTATGAACATCAATTTTTAACAAAAATTACATAATCTCCTGTACTAGTTACATTTCTATATCAAGTAAATGAGTTAGTTTAGCTTGAAAGGTAGGATAAAGAGAAAATCCATTATGTAGACAAATGAAGAATATTTATATAGTTTATCATACTCACTTGTAGTAATTATAATGTTGGATCCATCTAATCTTGAAGAAAACTTATGCCTAATTTTCTTTATTCGTATCATACTATTATCCAAATAATGGGTGCTTAGCTAGGATACAGTAGATTTGGATTTATTTCTAAATATAGCAGAATTTATCAATTAAACGATATCTTGGTCTCCACATAAGTGGAATAATCTATTCGCACATACCAATCGTCAATTTTATTATGAATATTCGTTAGAAAATAAAAATTCGTTACAAAATAAACAACACCAATAACTCACTGGCACATTAGAATAACGTTACGTCAGTGAAAGAAATATCTCGAATGATGAAATTGATAAACGGAGCACATATTCGTTTAGTTGAAACTCTTGTGCGCGCCTCACCCTAATTCCATCTCATTTGCTTACATTTCTATAGTTCGCTCTATCCTTGCCTTTATATCACAACCTCTCACACATTTGCCGTAGCATCTCCTTCCTTTTGAGAGTCGCGCATCGTTCATGCAGCAATTGTGCGGGCGCGAAAAGCAACGGCGACGGCGTTGTGCAATATAACCTGACCGCCGGCGCTTTCCTGGTCCGTGAAATTGAAATTACATCGGAGATGAGACTCGACGTGTACATTACGTCCCTTTTCTTTGATGGTACTCAGCCTCGTGAGCTTCTTCGAGCTCGACGTGAATTTTTAATGAAAATATTTTTCTTCTCTCGTTACACATTTATATAACAAGTTTTATCTTTCTTTCTTTCTTTCTTTCTTTCTTTGCTTGGCTTTTCGACAATTTCATGAGTTTAGTGGCTCCGATTATTACCCTATAAAATGATATTATGCAGATATGGAATTTCCGATGATCAATATTGGACTGCAAATGCATACTATGTAATTATTCTATATTTACTTTGAAAACTTGCGCATATGTAGAATAACTAATATGTGACGTATACTTCATGGTCCTCGATATCGAAATCATATTTCGTGATCACGCATTTTTTAGTCCTAAAAGTTGAAGGTTTAATAAACATATAAAACGAGTATTTACCATTTAGAATTGATCAAAAAGCAAAACAATAAGGAATAAAAAATGATTATAGCATGTGAACCTACAATAAAACATAAGTTCTTTATATAAATAACCGTTACATATCATGTATACTTATGTAAATAACTTCAACTATCATTGCATGTTTAAGTAGCTCGATAAGTACAAGTATAGAGGCACGTGTTTTATTATATCGTTTTTTTTTTTTTTTTTTTTTTTTTTTTTTTTTTTTTTTTTTTTTTTTTTTTTTTTTCTATTAAAGAAATATGCAAATATTTAATAAGACTTAATAATTCTAGTCCATTCAAGATTTGTTTCCAATGAAATTCAGAGAAATATACATTAATATGTTTATACAACTCAAGACAAACTTTTTTTTCACGTCAATATAAAACTAATTTTTATATTAAACCTTTATAGAAAAATTTTCAATATCAATACGATAATACGCTTCAATTTTTTATTCGAACTGATAAATTAATGTAATATTTTGAATTATTTTATATTATTGAAGGAAATGATGAGATGTCTTGTCTTTTCATATATGTAAACATATATATATATATATATATATATATATATATAATATAATATATATAATTATATATAATATATACAATAAGCTATTACTTTCATGGTCGGATGTACAATCGTCATATAATTAATTGTCTCTATCTAAATAATAAGTGTATATGATCTTTTCGTTAAAATATAATTGGAAATATGAAAAATTTTGTAAGTTATACATTTTGTTCGCGACTTTCACCATAAAAATCTAATACCTGAATAATTCGTTGGAATAAAATTCATCTCCACGTAATTTCAAATCAGTGTAATAAACCCTGTGACAGCTTGATGTACTACATAAAAAAAATCTCGTCTCTATACTTCAAGATGAATACGTAACCATTTTAGGCCAATTAAGAAGACAACTCGTATCCGTAAATATGATATTACGGATCTCCACAAGTACACGCGTGCGCTTAAATCCTACGAGTTGAAACGGAGTTCATCGATTACCTACATCAGAACGGCTTTCGAAAACGGCTTCTAAAATCGTTGATCGTGTTAAGAAAAGGGATACACGAGCGACGCTTGCCCTCTCACTCCTCTCTCACACCCGACACCCGACTCCCACAGCGGGACAACAAGAAGTCACGCGATGCGTTCTCAGCCGTAAGCACGCACACGTGCGTTCACTTCGTGTCTCCTCAACCCTCGGCGGACAATTCGTATCTCCCACGGTAGGCGTATTTATCAGTCTCGCACCTTTTCGTCAATCGACGTCTTTCTTTTCTCTTTCTTTTGCCTCACTCCCACACCCCAAGCTCATTGATTTGCTTGTTGTGTTGTGGTCGGTCCCTTGGGCGGATCGTGATTTAGAGATGTCCTTGCAGCAGTGCGTCCTTGATTATTACATGAATGTGATACGTCCTTGAAATTATAGTTTATGAAAGCAGTAGTGGCTACTTTTTTACTTTTGCTCTAATACACGATCTAATACCTT